GTTTGGGAGGGTCGTGCCCTACAAATCTTTATGGGCACTACGTATTGGGTTACCCATTGGTAGTGTAACGCCCTCTCACCAAAAAGGCATAGGGAGATGGTCATGTCTTGCAAGGCTATAGCCTATCAAAAGCCCCAAAACGTATTGGGGATTGTATGTGTGTGTGAAGACATTACGAAATGGGTCATCCATTTGTCATTGTTTTTCCTCTTAAGTTTGGGTAAAAATCTCAAGTATCAGGATTGACTTAACTTCTACTTTGGGAGTAGGCGACACTAGGATTGCTTGTATGCACTATGTGTTTTGCTTACATTACTAATCTGTTATTTTGATGAAAAGATGTGGCAATCTGTTAGCTCATGTGATGTATTTTATTTTGTCATCCGATTTATACTTTTTCTACCATTGCTAAAAATTGTGATACATGGCTCCATGTTATAACACCTGTATGAATTTTGGACAATGTTTATGAATATAATTGTATAGGTCGGAATACATGGTGTTGATCCGCTTACAGGGCTCTATAACTCATTCCTTTGACTTTCTCTGTGTAGAGTGATAACTTCGGTTTATGTGAGTGGGCGGCTGGGCACTCGTGGTTGGCGGTTGAAGATTCAAGTTTGGCAAGAAGGGTTTTATCTAGACTATAGGTGTCTTTTGGGTGGTAGCCATGTGATTGTTTTGTTTGAAGTATTGTATTTTTGTGGTTGGATCTGTAGAGCCTTGGACATGATTGTAATTAAATTTTGGAACTGCATTTATATAAGTTGGTTTTATTTTGTCCAATTCTTGTACCATTATGTATGGTTTTTGCTTTCTTTCGTAGTTTGCTTTGATTCTGTCTTTCTATAAGCGTTAAGTACTCACACTTGAGTGGCATTCGCTACCTCTAGTCACGATCCCACACTCTGTTGCTGTTCGGCACGTTCGGTAGGGATCAAGGGGCGGGGTCGTGACAAAAGGTGCCTTGTTTTCTGTGTATCTGGATTTTATATTATCATGCTATGTCTTTTTATGTGCACGTTTGACTATCTAACTGTATTTCAGAACATATAGATTTTTTGTATTTGGCATATATTTGAGGATGCATTTGTTCCACATAAAACCCAAAATTTAGAAAGAAAGAAAAAATATTTATATCTAGAAACACTTCAGAAAATTCCAAAAGGGAGAAGATATAAAACAGAAAAAATGGTGAAATTTTTCATAAATAACCATAAAAAACATCAAGATTATACAGGAAAAAGATTATACATAGATTTAGAAAAGAAATATAACTTTTGAGAAATCTATCAAAATATACCTAATTTTTCAATAATTTAACAGTAAACCCTTTTTAAACTATTCCACCTCATGCTGTGTTTTTTGATGGGTGTTTTATAATAAATTAAAATATATAAGTAAAATGTTCAATAGTTGATCTCTTCAGTATATCTTTTAAATTTTCCCATTTTTTATTAACTTATTTTTATCTTTTTTTAAGTTTCCAAGTTTTTACACTACTACATGGCTCCAGATGATACTGCATCTAATTTGCTCGGCCTAATCCTAGTCAACTCATTCGAGTCCCTGATTACTCATCATTATTTATGCCAATCATATCTTGCATTCTTCTTATTTTCATTACATATATAAGACTCAAATTCATGTAAATATGCATTACCTTATAAGCACTAGGGGTGACATCAGTTCGGCTACAATTGACCCAAACCCAAATAGTATTTGAGTCCAGGTTTTGGACCTGGACCCGACCCGACCCATCGGGGTTAAAAAATTGGACCCATACCTGTATCCATCGAGTCACAGGTCTACCCCATCGAGTCCAGGTCTAGTCGGATCCATTGCCACCCTAACTATGAGCTTTTTTCTTTTTTTTGCCTTTTTTTTTACCATCATATACCCGTATTGTTGGTAACAAGGTGATTATCACCCACCATTAGATTTCAAACCGTCTGATTTGTCGTTTTATAGCTATAGATGACTACGAGTTCTTATTGTATAAAATCCTTTATACACCCAACCAAATAGGGCTTGTAATAAAGTATTGCATCTCCAACAGTTTACTGGTACAGGTACGGTCTAGCTGGACCCAAAACCAAACTCGAATAGTGTTCGGGTCCAATTTTGGACACGAACCCGACCGACCAGGTGTAAACGCTGAACCCGTACCCAAACTCGTGTCGGGTATACTCAACGGGTCCCAAGTCTATCCAAGTCCATTGCCACCCCTAGTACACACACGTCTGAGTTCATGGCTCCTTGGCAATCGACTTCCACAATGTCTGGGACGGTGATCCAAGGAGCGGATCCCAACTAGATTCAGAACCCTAACTCGAATGTCTAACCCCTTAAAAATGTCCAAGAAAAGTGATAGCGTTGGTGTTAGACGTGATATTTTTCAAAAGGGTGTGGTTCGTATAGGGTTCCTTCTAAGCATTGGATTGGATGGATGTCTATGTTTTGGAATAATGTATTAAAAAATGTTAGAGAAATATAACATATACGGAACACATCAACAACATAGCAAACCTTCTCAAAAGTTCATAGAGATCGTTAAATCCACAATATTTCGTTCCTAGCTAAAAATTATTTCCCTTAAGTACCTCCTTAATTAATGTAAAGACAATAGTCAAATTGCAGCTGTTCCTATTTTGAACTTTGAATAGGAGAGGGCATTTTAACCATTTGATCACTTAAGTCAATTGAATCAAATAATCTAAATATCCATGTTTTAAGTTTTAAAGTAGAAACACAAATTTTATTAAAAAATTTTATTTCGAGTTCAAGAAAAATAATAAAGCTCCTATCAACACGTACAATTTTTATACAAACACATATTTATATTAAAAACAAGAAAAAAATATATAAATCTCTTTTTACCGAATTTCCTACACAGGCCCTCAATACTTTTTTTATTGATATTATGAACGTTGTTATTTTGCTTTGACTCTCGTGGTTGAAGGTTTTAGGTCATTTGGATGAAAATATCCTTCTCAGTCAAACAGAAAACATTCTAAGGCTGATTCGATCCTTGGAAGTCGGGACGGACCTCTGCTCAAGTACTTTTCCCAAGTTCAAACCAGCCTTAAACTTTAATTTTATTTTTAGTTTGGAGTAAGAGGGACTTTTTCATCCAAAATAACTTAAAAAGTTCACCTAGGGGATCGATACAAAGTAAAAAAGCTCATGGTGCAAGTAAAAAAAATGTATGAGAGGTCTATGTTTAGAAAATTCAAAATAGAAAAATTTACGTAAGTTTTGCTAAAAATAAGAAACAAAGTTATCAGTGTGAATAAAAAAAAGGATTGGAAACTATGAGACTATTTATCGTTGTCACAAAGAGGTCACAACCACTCCTTGTCATTAGATTTCAAATTGGATTATTGGGGATGTGTTACGAAGTTCAAATGTTTTTTTTTAAAAAACCTTGAGTCAAATCATATGAAATCTTGATCATGGTTATCCCACAGTAGTTACCAATATTTAGTTCATAAGGTTAATCGTTTTTCTTTTTGGGTTTTGTGTATATATTAATTATTTTTTATGTGTGGCTATCTCTTTGTGGAATTTCTTCTGAAATTTTTGTATGATTCATCATTTGGGAAGCTCTCTCTTGAATTTTTCGAGTTGTTTTTCTGAATCTTGATATAGGCTCTCTATCTCTACAATTTAAGAAATTCATTTGGAGTTTAGGTTAAATTTGATATGAATAACAGTGAATTATTTTGATACCATCGTATATGAATTTCGGTGCAGTCTTTTTATAATCAAGGTGAGCTACATGTTGTTGAAATTGTCAGAGTATGTATAATACATGATGTTGTTGAAATTAAACAAAGTATGATACATGCTGCTGAAATTGATTCCTCTCTCTCTCTCTCTCTTTCTCTCTCTCTCTCTCTTTTAATTAGATTTATCTGTTTCTCTTTATGGATTGGTTATTGAGAAGTTGTTTTGTGCAACCTTTTTCTCTCTAGATTCCTTTAAGTTTTTTCTTCCTTTTTTGCAATTGTTAGACATCTTTCATAAACTTTTAGGCATACCATGAAGCATCTTTCGAGCCCTTTTTTGTGGGCGTATGTGATTTAGTCTCAAACAATAGCAATGTATTTCTTCTAGACATAGCGAAACGGTAGTAATGTATTTCCCATGTTGTATCTAAATACTATCCAAACAGTAGCAATCCATTTGCAATTAATGTATTACGCCAGTCATATATTTCACCTACAATATATTTTCAAGCATACAAACAACCCTTGAGTGTCCGGGATGTTTTTCTTTTCAATTACCAAAGGAATTTATACTCCATCGAGAGTATATGGTTCATTTACTCTCTCATGTACAACCATACTTAGGATCAATTTAAGGAACCCGAACTTTGGGATATAACTTCTTCAACTATAGATTAACCTCAATGAAAAACTTCCTAAATGCACCCTCTACACACTTAAAAAAATAATATCTCAAGATTGAACAAAGACCGTCCAATTTTCAGAAGGGAAGATCTAAGCGGTAGAAAACGCAAATTTCAAATTTTAGCTTTTGAAAATAATCATGTATTGATAATTAGGTAGTTCCAAAAATTTTAAATTGAAAAAATCCTCCCAAGTAGGTTTTTTTACCGAAGGAGTAAACTTACATTATACTCCCGCAGGAGTACATGCTTTTTTCTATTTTATTTATTGACAAAATTATTTTTTATTTTTTGAGAAAAATCGGAACATACATTTTCTTTTTTAATTTAGCCCTGATGTATTTAAGGGGTACATACACCCGACTTCCAACTTAAAAAAAAAAAAAAATCAAATGAAAATAAAAAGACAAACGGTATCGAACAATGGAGGCGGCACAGTATAATGGAGCGGCCTCAACGTAGCATCTTGAGGTGTAGCGAGAGGGAGATTCCACCTAACAAACGACAACTAAAGAGAAGCTGCCAAAAAAAACTAAACAAGAAGACGAGAAAAACAAAAACTTGTTTATAATCGACCTGAGGAAGGCCTAATCTGTGTGTGTGTAGAGTGTAGAGTGGATATTTGGGAAATGGAGGGGAAGGTATGGCAGGAAGTGGAGGTGAAGGTCTCGGCTGATGCATTGTGGGATGTGTATGGTACACTGAAGCTTGGCAATCTCATCCCAAAGCTCCTGCCCAATTTCTTCCAGGCCACCCACGTCTTGGAAGGGGCCGGTGGCGTTGGTACAATCATACACATCTGCTTCCCACCTGGTAATAATACACAACCTTCTTTCTTTTGCATTCTGCATGTCAATTCAATTCATACCCCACCTCCGCTGTCTATTTTTAAATTTTGGAAATCTCTTCAATTTTGGTCAAGAGAGTTGCTCACTTTTTTATCTTAGATTTGACGTCTCAAAATATTTTAGTTTTAATTTTTTTTTACGCAAATTATATGAACATGAAATTCGGTACGTGCCATATTCTCATTCAGGCTCACCTATAAAAAATATTACAAATAATTTTTTGATAAAATATAATGACCAAAATACCTTTTGAATCTTTTAGAGGTATATTGGTCATTTTATTTTATTGAAAATATTTTTGATATATTTTTTGCCCATGCGAGTTTAATAGAGGATGGGACTTGCAAAATTTGGTGTCAAAATAGTTTATAGAAAAAAACTTAAAAATAAAATAATGTAGAGACGTGACATTCTGAATGGGGCAATTTTAGCCCTCCATTCAGAATGAACGGTTGGATAAAGGGAAATATATAAATTTTATGTTGTAGAAGAAACATGAAAAGCTTACCAAACTGCTAATAATGGAAAGTCCAGAGGGGTAAGGGTTTGATTTATTAGACCTATGCAATTTTGATAGGATAAATATATAATAATATTATTTATATTTAGCACAAAGAAGTTACAATTATTATTGATCATTAAAAGTGAAATCTGACAGTCGGAGGCTCGAAATTAAATTTATCAAACTGTGTGACATGCAAATCATCAACTTTCATATCCAATAAGATGATTGTGACCACCTTGTGAAAAAAAAAAAATACAGTCTCATTTTGCTGATACAATAAGAGCTCCTGACTACGGGGCCTGAGAAATATGATCGTATAAAAGTAATGCAATATATTTTAGGGAAAATTTATGTGCGGACGCCTTTTATGCCCGTTTATTATAAAAAAGGTACATTTTTTATGCAACAATACCGGACTGCTGAGGAACTCAGCCCGTAGTACTTCAAAACTTTGTATTGAGACAAAAGATTTCCTACTCCTGCGGGGATACACAATTCATTCACTCCCTCATATAAAACACAGGCAAGGGATACTTCCTAGATCTCATATTTTGCAGATGCAATTTCTATAATCCATACACTAATCTTGATTAAAATGTTTTGAAATAGACTATGTACTAAAAATAACAATAATGTTTCAAGATGAGTAGAGACAATCTAATTTTTAAGTGGCTATATCTAATAGTCACAAAACTCAAAATTCAAATGTTTTGTTTCGAAATAATCATCCAGTAAATCTCATGTGAATCCAAAATTCTAAACTAAGAAAATCTTCTTAAATAGGTGTCTTGGGCGAGGGAGTAGATATACAATATGCTCCAATGGAAGCATAATATATATGTGCTCTTATTTTAATATGCAAACGGACATACGTCAACCCATGGATAAATTAGGCAAAACCAGTGTTTTGAAACCCAGATCGGTGGGGTGGATCATCTATCTTACAAATATGTTTCAGATCACTGACTTGGATCTTCTTTTCCGCGATATGTATCCAGAAAACATTTCACAGGATGCGGACTCCAGTATCCATATGTTCCATTGGACAGTATGCTCCTATAGGAGCATGAAATCTTCTGGCGTGCTAAAATATGCCAAAAGAGAGAAATCCTACATCAACTCACATGTGTAAAATTAAAATGCTTCAATAACATTTTTGGCCACCCTTTATTGTTCAGGGCCAACTGTATAAACTTATATGCTTTCTCTTATCCAACCGTCCATTCTGAATGGATGGCTGAGATGGCATGTCTCTACACTATTTTATTTTTAATTTTTTCTACATAAACTTATATGCTTTCTCTTATCCAACCGTCCATTATGAATGGATGGCTGAGATGGCATGTCTCTATACTATTTTATTTTTAATTTTTTTCTACAAAACATTTGATTCTGAATATTGGGTGTCCATTCCTCTCTCAAATTCCTACCTTTAAAAATATAAAAACAATATTTCTAATAAACTAAAATAACCAAAATGCTCTTGAAAGTTTTAGGACTATTTTGATCATTATATATTATAAAAATATTATTTTAATATTTTTTTAGGTGCACCCTATTGAGATAATGACACGTACCAAATTTCATATTTATATAATTTGTAAAAAAATTAAAAATAAACTACTCTGAAACGTTGGATCTAGATCAAATAGCCAATGGCTCATTTGATCTAAATTGAAAGGTTGGATGGAGGGAATGTATATATTTCTATACATTAGCGGAAGTATAGAAACATTTCCCTATTGTTTATTGACCCAAAAAACCCACGCGTAAAATGCAATGTTCGTCTGCATAGAGGTAGGAATTCGGGGGATTATGAACTCGCCAACCTAAAAAAGGCAAAAATTCATACATATGTGATCGAATCGTAAAAAATAATCTCCTAAGATTAACAAAAGATTATCCAATTTTTGGAAGGATAAATTTCAAAGTATCGAAACGCTCGATTTTATTTTAGAAGACAATACTTCTCCGGTGAATATTTACAAGAGGGGGTTGGTGCTCTGCATACGCATGTGATCATTGGTGTCTGAATGCAATGTGCAATTTTAATTTTCCCATATAAACATAAGGGATTATATACAATGAAACCATTTATTATTACTACAAGGTGGTCACAATTACTTACAACCATCCGATGTAAAGTTTGATAGCTTGGATGTATCACAAAGTTCGAAAAAAACTCTTTTGAAGATTGAGCTTAATCAATGGAAAAATTGCAGTCACCCACTTTCACATCTAATAGTCAAGATTAATGTGACCAACTTATATCAAAGGTAAATGGTCTCATCCAATACTTTTACTAAATATAATTGGTGGGGATATTACTATGGATGGTAATGGATTGAGTGGGCAGGGAAGGCCCTTAAAAATTAGGGCATGGGCCGAAAAACGTGGCCCAAGGGCTAAGTTGGGCTTAAGCCTAGGCCACGACATAGCTGGCTTGGGCCATGATATGGCTGGCCTGGTTTAAGCCATATTTGCTTATTATTATTATTATTTTAATTGTACCATGGCATCGCCCTGTCCCGCCTAATCCTAACAGGTCCAAGCCTAGACGTGGGCCTCTTTCGGGCTGGGCTGGGCTGGACTGGGCTCAAGCCAGCCCCATAGAGATGCAGCGCCCAGCTAGTGCCATTGGCTAGCCTGGACCATTGTCAGCTCTAGATACTACCATTAAAATGGGCACTACAAAAATCGTAACTAGAAATTAATACAAATTGAAAAGCTCCACTCCATTAACTATAGTAATTGGTTGGAATTTTGACTATTGTGGTCATGGGCAGGGGCCTCTGGGCCTAGTTCTTACAAAGAGAAGTTTGTGAAGATTGATGATGTGGCACGTGTGAAGGAGACTCTAGCAATTGAAGGCCTTCAAGAACTCGGGTTCAAGAAATACTTGGTTAGGCTTGAAATTCAAGAGAAACCCGGGGGTACTTCGGTCATAAAATCGACCATTGAATATGAGGTTGATGAGGAACATGCGTGGGCCCCACCTCCCGTTACTATAATGCTTTTAAAGCTTATTGCTGAAACAATCTCAAATTATTTGTCCGAGTCTAAGTAAAAAGATTAACTCTTTAATTACGAATTAAGAAAAATAAAGATTTGACGGAAGCAGAAAGCCTACCTACCTCTCAATATGATCCAGATTGAAGATTTAGAGATGGGATTATGGGGCACAAATGCATGCTGTGTAATTAATAATGGTTACATATTTTCTTTTAATTTCTCATTGTTATGCTTTGCTGTGGTAGAATTTTGGAAGGCCCTCACGATATCAAAGTAAAATTACTTTTGGAGTGATAATCTAAGTTGGGTTTCATTTCTTTTCAATTTCTTATTCGTGAGTTAATCACGCTTGGTACCGGTGGGTGGGATGTGGGCCAGGTAAACACGTTGGGGTCGACCCGACTGGGAGCGGGTATATATTGTATGAATAATAATAGCTATATAGTCGAAAACCTGTAAAATAATTTTTGTAATAGATTTTATTTATAGACCCGGACAGGATCCGACCAAATCCAAACGGTTCCAAGTCTGGGATTTTTTTAGTTTTATAAATCTTATGATATACAAACTATTTTACATAAGTTAACGATACGTCTATAGCAATTCCAAATTAAGATAAGGATATGAGACTGTGGAATTAAGATAAGAACATGCGGAATTAAAATGAGGATACAGAAAATGCATCTTAAAGGGGGGATGCACATGCACATGTGAGTCCGGGGAATTGGAAAAACCCCGTTCAATAAATTTTCCAGCAGAATTCCTTACAACAAAATTACATCTTTTTGATAAAATTTAGATGCGCTTCTCACTTTAATTATTTAAGGTTGATACCTTATGCAAACTGCACCCAACAATTGGTTAATTGGTTAGGGCTTGACGATTTGCAATGCTATGTCCTAAACTCAATTCTTCTCAAAAGTTAGGGTCCTCTCCCCGACTTGCTCACCAAAAAAAATAAAACTACACCCAACACTAAATAAGCTACCACTATAGAAACTTGCAAGTACAATATGAATTTCTCTGTATTAGTCTCCTTGATTACGTCAACACAAGTGAAGATGATGCAATACTATTTAAACTTCATTGTTTCTTCATTCATCAACATGAGAGCAGAAACCCACAACGTCTATCTGTATGGAATATTATAGAAGCTTTTCCAAAAACTATAGTATCAAAGATATCTATGTACTGCATTATTAAACCAAGATTTATGTATAGTAGGCACATGTTGCAAGAATAAAAAAGAGACCTTATAGCTATATTTAAGGATTGGACATATGTGCAAGAATAAAAAATATTATGGTAGAAATAGTTTGGAGGAATCCAATCATGGATTGGAGGAAGTTTGGAAAGGAGAAGAACGATGGCATTTGTCTGACTGGTAATGTTCTTCCATCAGGTTTATCATGTTTGACGGTGGCTGTAGATAGTTTGGTGGAGGAGCAGTGTAAAGCTATTACAAGATTCCTTGTGACAGGGTCCTTCTCACCCCCACTAAAGAATTATTTTGGCCTTTCTGACTAGGCCCAGAGAGGATGGCAGTTGTCTTATCTCCACGATATCAAGCTTATTGGAGAGAATAAGATAGTATTTAAACTTCGCTCCTCAGAAGAGGTTCAGAAGGCTCTGTTAAATAGATTCTGCAGAGTGCGTGGTAATCTGTTATCATTAGACAAATGGAAACATTCAGATCATGCTTCACTGATCCAGAGAAATCTGTTTGGATTAAACTTTGGGGAATTCCCTTATATGCTTGGAATTTTGATGTTATCAAGTTGATGGTGAGTAGTTTCAGGGAGTATTGTGATTTGGACTGGGATTCTTTCTTGAAACCAACTTGCAATTTTGTGAGGGTTAAAGTTTGGGAAGTCTGTGACTCAGTGACACCACAAAAAGTATGTTTAAAGATTGGAGGGGATTTCTTCACTATCATGATCACTCAGGACAATGGAAAGTCGATGGGCGTCAACATGAATCAATTTAATGGTACGCTCAATCTTCCATCCAGTAAGCATTCAACGCCAAGTTCTTGGATGGAAAACTTGAAGGGGAGGATTATGGTGCAAAATTTCGACGGGTTTGGAAACCGTCAAATTCAAGACCGCCAAAATAAGAGAAACCAACGACGTTCAAATTTTAAAAAATTTCAAAAACAGCAATCTAAGAAGGTTTCCAAGAGGTGGATCCCAATTGGCAGGTTCCCTGAGTCATCGGCTGGTCTTACGTCATTTCTCGCATCAGTTACTGCCCATAGTGAACGGATAAGTTCCTCTATACCTGATCATGATGATTTGTATGCTCCCATGGGTTCAACAACTCAAATGCTCAGTATGCCTTTTTTCCTCACTGAGAAGTCGGCTGGTTTGAGTACCAAGAAAGGCACGATGATGCGTGTCAGTGATATGATTTTCCTGTCAAAAGATACGCTATGTTTCGAGAAGGCGATTTTACCAGCATCCATATCCCATCTTTGGAAGGAGATTGAGACAAAGAGCAACCTGCTATAGATAATTTCGACGTTGATTTTTCTATTGGGTTGTTTGGCACATAGAAAGCTTGCAGCTCTGCTACACTACCAAATTTTTTTTTGGTTATCAGTGCTTGTCATTTGCTCTTTGAAGATGTACCCTCTTCCTTATCGTGTAGAGGCCACCAAAAGCAAGAAGAAACTCATATTTTAATTTGATCATCTTCTCATTGAACCATTAGCAATTATAGTGGTAGAGGCGGAAGATGATTAGGGGTCTGGTGCGAATGGTGAGAATTATGAAGCTCCCATCCTTCAGGATGATACACATGTACTCAATGTGATGGAGGAACTTCTGCTTGACGTCCTCCCTCAAGTAGAAGCTTTGCCTCTGTCACAGGGTAGAGAAGAGGCGATGGTTTTGTTTTGTTTATGTTGCAGGGCTTGTTATCGGAAGCACCAATCTTAGAGGATGGCCCTCAAATTATAGAGCTTCTGGATGTAATATGGATGGATGAGGTTCACATTAGTGTGGCTTTCGAAGAAATTAAAGAGCGTTATAGGAAGAGGACTAAGACTTCGTCTGCAAATACACCGAATGTGGCCACCAAAGAGATTGCTATGAAGACTCCAGCTACCAAAGAGACTGCTATGAAGACACCTGCCAAAGAGATGGCGACGGGAAAAAAAAAAAATGGCCATAATGGGGACGAGGTCTTCCGCTTGTTTTGAGGCTTGTGGAATTATCAAGAAGGGACCGCCAGGAGGAATTTCCCTTCGTGAACCGATGCTGGTATATGTTGGATCTTCCTCTTCCTCGAGTGATTCCTCTAGTGGTGATGATGATGACTACCTCAATGAAGCTCCCCTTTTGGAGGAGCATTACTTTGCTACAGATCCTGATAGACCAAGTGCTACTTCCTCTAACCCTTAATTTATGAATTTACTCTCTTAGAATGTGTTGGGTCTGGGGGATTCCAGCAGGAAAAATGATTTTTTTTTTTGGTGTCTAAGTATAAACTTGTTAGTTTGCTTTTACAAGAAACCAAACTCCCAAGCCCACTGTGTCTGGGGCCAGGGAAGTCTGGAGTTCAGGGGCAATATCTTTTTGTGGTATTGATGTGGTGGGTGTATCTGGGGGTTTGTGGGTACTGTGCGACCTTTTAGTTCTACAAAATTTTCATGTTGTTGTTAAAAATTGTTGCTTACTTTTGGGATTTCATGGCCCTAGACTAGGATTTTCTTGAGGACTTATGAATGTCTATGGACCCTTTGTTCCTACTCTTAAGGAAGATTTTATTGCTAAGATGAATTCTGCTATTCACTCTTTTCAATTTCCAGTGGTAGTTGGGGGGGGGATTTCAATTTAATTTGATGGCCTGAGGAGTGTCTTGCAGCCACTCCAATTAATTCTTCTATGAGACTTTTTAATCAATTCATTGAAAGTAATACTTTCATGGATCCTCCTATTATCGATTCCAAGTTTACTTGGTCCAATAATAGTTTGTCAATGCCAGCTAAGTCTAAGATAGTTTGCTTCTTGATATCAATGGAATGGCTAGAGGGATTCCCACTATCAACTGTAAAGATTATGCCAAGACTGAGCTCTGATCATCAACCCATTCTTTTAAATACATCCCTGGTGCGTGGGGGTCCAAAACCATGTAGATTAAATTTAGAATGGTTGGAGATGGATGGGGTTACTATCTGATCATACGGGCGTGGACAAATTATGTGTTTGAAGGTACTATGGATTTTCAATTGCACAATCGACTGTTGATAATCAAGCGTAAGCTGATTGATTGAAAGAAGGAGAATAATGTTGATATCAAAGGAAAACTAGAAAAAGTTTTACTTGATATTGAAGGTTTGGATCAGAATATTCAAGAAGATGGTTCATTCACTGAACAGTTCTTTTTAGATAGAAGTGAGAAACTGAAAGAGCTTAATGATATCAAAAGAGAGGAAGAAATTTACTGGAGGCAAAGGTCGAGATCCAAATGGCTTAAGGAAGGGGACCTTAACACCAAATTCTTTCATGTAATTGCTAATTTCAGGAGAAGGTAGAATGACATCTCTGGCCTGACTTTCCCTGGAATTGATTCAGACAATGATTAGGCTATGGAGTTAGCAATGATTAATCATTTCAAAATTGTTTTCTCTAAAGAAGTAACGTTTACTCCAAAATTTCAGAGAATAACATTTAGAGTGCTATCTCATAATTTGCATATTCATTTGGAAAGAGAAGGGACTTTAAAAGAGGTGAAGGAAGCGGCTTTTGCTTTATTTGACGATAAAGCTCCTAGACCAGATGGTTTCCCTTTAGCCTTCTTCCATAAATTATGGGATTTGGTTAAAAGTGAGCTGTTATAAATGGTCATGGGATTCATGATCACATGACATGTGTTTGGAGGGGTAAATTCAACTTTTTTAGCATTGATCCCAAAGAAATCAGTCATATTAGATATTTTGAATATCATACCGATCAGCATTCTCACTAGTTTGTATAAAATTATTGTGAAAGTCCTGGCTAAAAGACTTAAAGGAGTTCTACCATTCTTGATTTCCAGCACGCAGTCGACTTTTGTAGAAAAGTGTCAGATCACTGATAGTGTATTGCTCGCGCATGAATGCATTCACTCAAGGGTTATTGATAAAAAGCCAAGGGTTATGCTTAAACTAGATATGGAG